ATTTCCTATTGTCGGCACTGAAATTTATTAATACTGACGTCTTTGTGATCGCTAATACATGTCTATCAGATTTTTCTAGTCCAAAAACCATGCATGCAAAAATAAGTTTATGCTATGTAAAAAAATGCCCTCAAACTTTATTGATTAAAAGCTAAGTAACAAACAATTGTACTCAAAATCGAACAAATATGATTACATAAATTAATGAGTGAACGTTTGTTGACAATGTTTATTATTTTTATACAACATTCTGGAGGCGTAAATAATGTTATTTTACTTTCATACTTTGTATTTGTAATAATAAAATCCAAGGTTTAATCAACCCAGAAATAGGGCTTTTGAAAACGTGTCCGCTAATATAAGTAGCCGCACTAGTTTATTAACAATTGTGGTAGTTTTGAAAAGTGTAAAAATGTTACTCCCGGGAGCAAATGTATTTACTTCGATGAAAGTTTTAAAAAACTAAAAATTATTCAACAAGAACGGCTATTGAATGCAATAAAAAGTTGCCCAATAACATTTAAGAATCCAAACATTATGTATCACTAAGTTTTTAATCCTTTTTAATGCATCGATATAAAAATACATTAATTTGACCAATTTTATCATTGTCAATAAAAGCTTTATTTAGTACGAGAAAAACAAAATAGATTATGCCCCTAAGCTTTAAGGGGCAACGATAAGAATTGATAGAAATAATCGGAATGTCAAATGTAATAAAATATAGCCTACAAAAAAAAATTGCTCGTGTTTAAAAGGGGTTGAATTAATCTGGCATTATAGTTACATTTAGCTATGTATGTAAAAGTACTCAAGTTTTATTGTAAGCACGATAATATTCAAACCTGAAAGTAAAAAAAAGATGCAGTAATAAGTACAATAATTTGCATGGAGGTATGTGCGAATGATAAACTTTAGAAGAAAAGAAAGATTTGGTGCGCAGTAAAAGGAGTTCAGGTTATATTCTTGATTTGCCGGATACATTTTGCTTTTCTTGAATAAATTTTTAATTAACAAGGCTCGCGATACATTAAATTACCAACGCACAAATAGGCATATAATCACTTTCTTTAAACATGTTTACATGTTAAACTTTATATAATAAAATACTCCAACTTTGAAAAGTTTTCAACTCAGTATGGAGGGATTTGTATGACAAATGATCAGTAAAACTTTGTAATGTAACAATATGTTAAATAAAGGCAAATTTCTATCGTTTCGTTATGTTGAGCTAAATAATTTAATGACAGCAATAAATAGCGAATAGATAAATTATAATAAAAAAACGTTTATTTATGCGTTTCCGTAAGTTACATATCACTTATCACATTAAATTTATGTATCACACAAAACCTAAATACTCTATTTAGAAAGGCTGTTGAGAACTGATGCCCCTACTTTGTACACATTTCCAAATTCGATCGGGCATCAAAGCTGTTGAGAACACACTTGGTTAGCGCGGATTAGGAAAAGTATAATATCTGCAAAGATTTGCAAAATTAGTAACCCGTAAAGGTAAAGATAAACAGGCTATACTCGAAATGGGAGATCACGAGTTACGACCGAAATTATTATAGCGATAATAATGTCGTTACATCGAATAAATTTCATTATAGTTCCAGAATTTTTGTCAGTATAACGAGATGTCGTATATATAGTATACTAGTTATATAGCAGTGTCGTCATATCGAGACGCACTTGTATCTATACGCCACCCTCAAAATGAGAATTGGATTGGTTGAACAGATTTTTTTAATTATAAACACGTAATATCCGTATATTTTTGATACACATAGCGATAGTACTTTTTGGTTAGCATCTGTTTTGGTGAGATTACCAATAAAATCTGATATATCGAGACACATTTTATTAGTGTTGGACTTGTTCCATGAAAAATCTCCGTACTAAACGATATCCGTTATATCGAGAGTCCGTTTTATTATTATATCGAATTTCACTGTGTATATTAATATTGACACAGCTATATATCAAGCAAAGCCTCACCAAAATGCCATCGACTAAATTAGTTCATTTCCAGCCACATCAGCCTCTTTGGCTTATATTAATATATTAATATGTAATTGTATCAGTCCATAAACTGTGCAAAAATGTTAGACATTGAATAGAAAATAAGGGTGTCCTTAACTTACACCCCTAGGTGTACGGAAATTATCGTACACCCCCGGGTGTATTTGTTATCGTACACCCCCGGGGGGTAAGTTAAACTGATACACCCCCCCCCCCCCGGGCGAACGTACGATTATTGTATAGAAAGCTTAAACTTATCAACTGAATATCCAGGTCAACGTATATTATATTGCATTAGTTGTAGCCAAGACATTATATAGTTATAAAGTTTGGGCTTAATATTTTATTTGCTCATAATTAGGATATGCTTTTACGCTCTTCTATGCAGATACATCTTACCCAAGTTTTTACAGATTAGAAACTTAGATGATGCACTATGATATTATGAGTGCATTTTCTTATTTTTGCAGTAGCAAATATTCAAATGCTACATACAGATCTGTCATTAAACTTTAATTATATATATTATTAATCAGAAGCCTCTTACTTGTCACTGATGTAACGATCTTGTTGTATGTCGGCTTGGACATGTATGTCAGATTGGAATCATATAGACAATCAGGTAACAACATTATAAATTATTTTATTACAAATGACAGCAGCTTTGCGACAAGCACATCGAGCCGTTGAATAACTAGTCTTACAACTACATCTAATTTTGGCTAAATGACCAAGCTTTGAGCTACAGAATAAGTTAGCGATAGTCTTTCTATTTGTGCGGAGATGCAAATACAATTGTGAGTAAACATCGCCTGACTGACATTATCATTGTGAAAGAATGCTTTGCGCTACAGAATAAGTTAGCGATAGTCTTTCTATTTGTGCGGAGATGCAAATAAGTAAACATATCGAATATGCTTGAGTTACTAAAGACGTTAGTGAGAAGAAATGAAAAACGAGAGTGCTAGAGTATTAAAATGGCGTAATAAACGTGGCTCGACACATTGTGAGAATATGCTTTGAGTTACAGAATACGTTAGCGATCGTCTTTCTATTTGTACGGAGATGTAAATATCGCCTGACTGACACTATCAATGCTTTGAATTACTGAATACGTTAGTAAAATTTCCCATTCGGTGGATGATATTCAAGACTTAACCATCTAGGTTTAAGCTTAAGGTGGTGCGACACACATCTACCAGCCAAACTTGTCAACCAATTTGGGCTAAAATACTGACAGATCGTGTGAAAACTGCGCTTTACAATTTAGTGGTAGCTACTACTACCAACCCTTACAGAGGATTCAGTTTAAGCGATAAACAGAATGGGTAGAACAGCAATGAACCGTTCACTATCACCATTGTATTATGCATTATTCATCGCTTGATAAGTTGAGCTATCAAATAAATTTGTGCTAAACATACAATTTGATGACTGGTGTATGGTTTTTACCAAAGGATTCAACCGTACGACTTGTGGTTTCTGTCTATATGTGTACAATTTGTCGAACAATTTTATGAACAACGCTTAGAAATTGTCAGTACTATATTATACGTACACTTTTCAATCACACCTCATTGAATGAACTGTTCTGTGAGTAGTTGTAGATAAAAATATTAGCAGGATTAACACTTTTTTCCTAATCTTCGGCATTGGCATAGAATTGTGCAGTTTTTTTTTGTTTTTTTTTGACAATAAACATTATTTTGATCATATGTCTTCTTGTGACAGTGATACGTGCAATGTCTTCCAAATAAACGTTCTGAACTTTCAATTTTTTACGTATGTAAATGCGAGTTTGGGAATTTGACAGAGTTTACATTGTGATACGATTACATATGACAGTAACCAAACGTTATGAATTATATTTAACTGTCATAATCGACAGTGCAGTAATTTGTTACGTGTAATACTATTTATTATACCATGAGATAAGCAAGTGTATATGACGATATAATATAAAGAAGTATACAAGTGGTAATATAACAAGTTACTTGCACTTATATAGATTGTTTATTCATTATGCTAAAACTTACAATGTTAAAAATAACATATATTTATAACAAACTCAGTTGTTTAATATGCAAGTAGGGTTGATATTATAATGCCAATAAATAATTTTATAATGTTGTTACCTGGTGTCCTTACTATTCCAATCCGACATACAACAATCTTCTAATGCAATGGGTGTTATTCATTTCTCACTGGCGGTTTGTAGTTTCTCAAGATGATATAGGCTTATTGATGTTTACATAACAATACAATAATACAAATAGGGCTTATCTAATAAGAAATAGCGCTGTATGTCAGTTTGGAATTTGTGTCCAGCCTGAATGTACGAATATGCATATTCGGCATTAGCTTTTGTGTAGAAATTAGTACATGAGTTACTATATAATCGAATACGATCTAATTGCAATAGTCTATATACTATATCAAATAAATCAAGTGCATCGCTAAATGTCACAATTGAGTGGCTGTAATGTATAACAACAAGCATCATCGCTGTTTACGTAAATTACACCAATTATCTTTAACATTGTTGTTTTAGTAAAGTTAATGATGCAACATTTGAATTGATGCGACAATCTTTTTTTTTTTAAAAAATTATCGAAATCGATAATTATTTTGTTTTATTACATAAATAGACAAAACGTAATAATAATGATATGTGTTCTATCAGCTTATGGTCCACATATGCTTCAAGTTTCTAATTTTGTTCAATAGTTACATCAGTAAGTGACTGATTGATTGACTATTGTAATGAGTGCAATATGTGCAATTTGCATAATAATATTGCAAGTATTGCTAATGCTAATACAGACGTGACAACAAAATCTCTTTCTATTTTATTAAAATAAATTAATGCTATACAAAAAACACCTTAAAATAAAGTAATGAATACATTTTAAAAAAATTCAAACGATTAATAATTTACGCTTAGAATTTTACTTAGCCTAATTGTGCAAAATTTATTCGTCATTATCAGGAAACATATGTAGACCAAAAGCATTACTCTCATTCATAATAATTTGCGCTGCTTCATATGAAATTCCTTCTCTATCTTCCTGAATAAGCATTATACAAGTTTCAGGGACAAGAACTTCATGAATGTATTCGATGGGCTTTTGCGGACTTGTTAATTTTGCTGTTATCTTGTTAGTCTGCATAAACATTTTGATTAATGTATTAAGCATTACATGTGCCCCTTTCGGTCCATAATAGCCTGTCTATTACTATGGGAAGAATAAAAAAAATTAGCATGTAACATTATTAACATTTACGTTGAAGCTTATAAATTTTACTTACTTGCAACTCTTCAAATCTTCCCATTAAAACCATCGGCGTTCTTGCCTTCTGACCAGACTTGCTATATGCATCCATGCTCAATTCTCTATATTGACTTCTTACTTCGCCTTCGATAATAGCAAGCAATTTGGGTTCCAATTCCTTAATTCTTTCAGGCAATCTATCAAAGTCTATTACAGTTGGGTACCCTTTCTTAACACCTTCTGGCCCAACTATTAATTCAGCTTCATGAAACATACAAAATGCATATGATTCTATTGCAGACAAATTTTCTGTTCAATATAAATATAAATTTAATTAATATTTAGAACAATTTAAAAATTTTTAGCTTCAATAACTTACTTCTTTTTCGTAGTCTGCTTAAATATTGTTCAAGCTTTGGTGGAAGAGGGCTGGGCAATGGTTCTTCACAGTACGGACAAGGCTCGTAGGCTTGAACATCTTGTTAGGAAAAAAACTTAGCCACCTGAAAACGCATAAGTCAAAGATAATAATTACTAAATTCTTACCATTGTTATCACTTTCAATTTCACTTTCGCTCTCATCTTCTTGTAGCTCTTCCACATAGTTATCTTCACTTTCTTCATCATCAGTATGATCTGTCATATTGTCTGAGTGCAACTCACTATGTTTTCTTTTTTGTGTATTTTTAGGACAATTCTTGCTACGTCTAGTGTGACCAGTTTGTCTACATGAGCCGCACACAATCGTACATTTTTGTGAGCCACCGATGTCTGCCTGCCTTCGTGTTGCAGCACGTTTTGATACACGACCTTTCGTTTTCACAATAGATGGGTTATATATTTTAGGAGATGTATGTGCCACTGATCTAGCACTTTCTAGAGTTTCTTCCAACTTTTTGTTAAACACCAGGCCGCGATTTTGCATAACGTTCGATCTTCCTTAATGTCTGATTTAGAAGAAATAGTTGATATTCTTCATTATTTTGTAAATCACATTCCGTCTGTAAATTTTCTTCTCTAGCAGTCGAAGCACGTATTATATTATAAAAAGACGTATAATGTTGAGCCAAGGCATTCTTGTTGGGGTCTTTGCACCATCTTTTCGGAAAAAGTGAGGTCGGGAGACTTTCGAGGTTTAACTGAACTGCAACGCGAATAATATGTCTGCAAGGTATTCCAACAAAATTCATATAATTGCAGGTGCATTCAAAAGACTCGTTTTCTTCATTATATTGAACATGATGCAATCTAGCTGGCGTATTGGAAGAAGATTGCTGTCCTATACGAATTACTTGATATTGTTTTCTGCTTCACTATATAAAAAATAAAAACATTAAGAATAGTTAATATTAATATATAATTGTATAAGCATAAAATTACAAGTATTAAATTTACCATATAATAATGCATTTATAATTCATTGACTTATGAATTTGTTCCTGAATTTTATAAAAAGCATATCTCGTATAGAGACAATTTGCCTGTTCTTCAAAGGGATTACCAGACTTACAACGTGTGCTGAGATTATTTTCTTTAAATGCAGCATAGTCTTCAGCTTCTTTTCTTGACTCTACTGCTGAAGCAAACGCTTCAAGAAACTCTTTTAACGAAGTATTGGCATCAAAAAAATGCTTTAAAAGAGCGTTCATACTTTCTCCCCTTTGTGTTGTCGTCATACCCGCTAAAAATATATCGGACAAGTAACAAGGCGCCCATTTTTCCTTAGTTTTTTCCATAATAGCTAAGTACTTTACGGCGTGCACATGGTCTTGCTTCAGTGCCTCCCATTTTTCTAAAAATGTTTGTTCATCAGTTTCTCTTATACACGCATAAAAATCGCCTGAAAACTTCGACCAGTCTGAGCCAAGCACGCCTTGCAAATTTTTCATAACGTTTTTAAATAAGTGCCAAAGACACAGTCGATGTTTTGAGCCAAAAAGAGCGAAAGTTTGATTGAAAGCGCTAGAGATGCCATTGTCATTATCGGTTAACAATACTCCTGGAGAATGGTTATTAACGAGCTTAAGGAAGCTCTCAAAAATCCACACAAAACTTTCCGCTGTTTCAGATGTCATCAATGCACCTGCAAAACAGACTGACTGGCCATAGTTGTTAACACCGCTGAAAATACCAAATGGCATGGAAAACCGGTTGGTTGAATAAGTGTTATCAAAGACGACTACATCGTAAAACCGAGAGTACGCCATTCTCTGCTCCGGAAACATCCAAATTACATGTTGAAGCCGGTTAGATAATGGGTCGCATTGATAATCGAAAGCAAGTTCCGGGTAATCAGCCTGAAGATATTTTAGCGTATCAATAAATTCCTGTGCGTCAAACTCTTTATTAGTAAGACTTCCCGAATTATGTAAAAAGTTGTATAGGTCGTTATAAATCCAGGTAACGCGGTTAGTAAATTTTGTTGCGAGAACTGAACGAATTTGAGAAACGTGCAGACCCGATCGTTTGAGTAAAAGAATTTCTGCTTTGACATCTTCAGGAAGCTCTCGTTCACTTGCCATAAATCGACGTTGTTCTGCTGATACCATTTGGTGATTGTGCTCGAGTTTGACATCTAATGTATGCCAAAGACCAGTTACTGAATCATGAGATGCTCGAACGCGGAATGGACAGTCAGTTGCTTGCGGTACTCTTTTACGTTTACCCTCAATTTCTTTTTTAGCAGGAGTACGCGCTTTCGAGCATTTGCACGGCGGAAACGATGATAACGTTGGTGTTGCTTGGAAGCATTGAAGAATGTATACCATAACTTGTGAATGAGTTTTTCAGAATATATTCACTTCCAACACACGAACACAGCAATAGTGATGTCAGTCGATACAGACGATATCCTGCCTGGCTTTATCATCGCAACAGACTAATAAAGAGGTTTATCAAGTACAATAATAACTATTACATAGTTGCTGATAGCCGCTTTTGCCATTGTTATTCTCGATATGGCTTCTGTTCCGCATGTGGATTACTCCAATGTGGTGCATCTGTGACATAAACAATTATTCGATGGATGGACTAGTAACATTAAGCAACCCGATGAATTTATAAAAAAGACTCAATCACAAACAAACTGGGCAAATGATGCTTATTGGAATGGATTTCATTTGATTGTATTCATGTTGAGGAATATGGTCTACGCCTGAACGGTCTACCTACTACTACTTCTAATTTTTTTTTATATGTTAAATCAATTCCACTTGAAATAACAGACGAGACACATGATTCATATTATGACGAGGTAAACTATTTACTTATTCGTCATATTTATCGATAGTCTAAATAAGTATTGATTTATTATTTCCACCAGCTAT